TACCTTTATGGTCTTATGGAGTAAGCCTCTACAAATCTGCGTTAAAAAATTGGTTTGAACTTGTTGATCGTTTTTTTGCAATTTTTATGATGTAACCCCCTTCTAAATATCCCAAAAATTGCTTCGCCGAAAAGTCAACAAATACCTGCAGTTATAATTCCATAACTTTATTTTAAGACATTCGATTTCAAAATGGTATACCTTTATAGTCTGTTGCTTAAGCCTCTACAAATCTACATTCAAACATTGGTGTTTACTTGCGGATCGATTTTTTGCAATTTTTTCTAAATACATCTTAAATCGTGATTTTTATTTTAAAAATAATAACTGTTACGATCCCTGGTCAAAACCCTTAATTTCCTTAGCAGTTTGACAATATCCATTCAGATCACTGTAATTCCTTGTTAACTAGTCGGAAAAATGTCAATCAATTAAATGAAATACTTTAATATCGCAGTCTATTAAAAGTCATAAAACCAATCAAAGGACATTGCGAAACAACATTTTTGCTGGCAATTTTATTAACAACAACCACCGGAGAAAGTTTTGGACTTGAACTTTTGCATAATTTCCAGTTGAACGGTCACAAAAGAGCGGAACAAAATCCTCGAGGCCAAACATTTAACGACGCATAAAATTTATAAATATTGGAAGGGGATTGAGGCGTCCCCTAGATGGGTCAATCTCGCATAATTTTGCATAATTAATGCAAATTGCAATTTTTATGTATTTGTATTGGACGAATCCTCTGGATTTTCTCGGATTTCTGCTTTTATGACCCTTAAATCAGATTTTTTTTTTTGCTTTTTCGCTGAGTACACCAATTGGAAATTACAATGTAAATTAACTGGATGTAAAAGTTTTCCTGCAGCTCAAGCTGTTTGCTGCATACTTGATCAGATGAATTAGGACTCGGTTCGCTCGACTTGAGTTCCCTTGAGTTTCGGTGGACTGGGACTCCGGACTCCGGACTGCCGACTCCCGACTTCAAATAGAAATTGATTTCTGGCCACGGCCCAAATCTCCGCCCAACGACGGAAACTGGCAAGAGGCGGAAACATTCGCGTCAACATACACTCCTACACATTGGCAACAGTTTGGCACGCATATCGGATGCGAATCGGGTAAACCGGGAAAGTTAGTTTCGAAATTGGGCCGACAGAATGACAGCCGGGAAAGCTGCGTGCCAGTCCCCTAAACACGACAGGCGGACAAAAACAAAGCAGCATTAAAAACTCATCATCCGGCCACGTTCGCCATGAGGAAAAATGCCATGCAATGGGAAATCGTTCTACGGAAAAGCAAGGGAAAACTGTGGAAAATGCAGCGAAAAATCTGCCGCCACTGCCGCTGCCGGCTATCGCAGGTTGACTGACATTTGGAATGCAGCAATGGAGCTTCGTTTTCCTTGTCCTGCCGCCTCGGGGCCCACTTAAGTGGTAAGGATAACAGCCAACTGTTGTTGGCAGCCGGCGCTGGGACAATGAACTCTCCCGCCGCCACTTGAACCCAGGTAAACCGATCTAGACGGCACCGGCCCGATTTTTTCGCTGCCGGGATAATTGAAGTTTGACGGCAGACCCACAATTGCATTGACATTTTTAATGAGGAACAAATTGTCTTGCATTTTTAAAATAACAGTTAAGCCTGATAGCCGTGAGATTCGCTAATAAGACTTAACTAGATACTTGAAATTAACCATGTATATTTAAACGGATATATTTGTGTCTATACTTAATCTTTTTAATACTGTGGAGAGAATACTTATACCAAAACGACTAGATGTATTTATTTGAATGGCATCTTATTTGTGTCGAGATTTAAATCGATTTACTTTCTAGCTAGTAATCGCGCATAAATTACTTTTTGATTATATAATTTCCCCCCTTTTAACACTATTTACTTAATATGCAGCAAATGTCAGTAAGCTTCCGACGTGATATTAAATCACTTGAAAATCATTGTTGGTGCTGTCAACCTTGGAAAATAAGAGTAAACGATAATGCAACGACTAATTACCCCTTAATTAATTTCCGCACTTTCCCAATATCCCATTTCAAGTGAAATCAGGCAATGCATTTAACATCCTTTCCGAGGGACTATCATGATGCACTGATGATGGGTTCGGAAAGGGACATCGTCGAACAAATCAAACAGTTCGGCACGCCATAGCATCATAATTCGCAGGACTATATGCAGCTGGCATGCCAACCAGTGATTACATATAGCCCTACGCCACTCATTAAGTTTGAGTTGCCCAGAACCTTGGGGTTAAATATATACATATATATAGATTTCACCATAATCGTATGTGAGGCGGCTCTTCAGTTTCCATTCGAGTGCAGTCGGAAAATTAATTGCTTTGCACTCGAGTGTACAACTTTCGCTCGTGTTGACATTAATCAATGACAATTTGGCATGGCCAGGCGCGTCTTCGAGTTGGCAGGAGCCGAAAGCCGGACAAGAGCCACTCGAAAGTGTCAATATCAAATGAATTGCAATTAAGCACAATCCATCAGGACACGAGTGAATGGGTGGAGGTGCGAAAAAAGTTTGTCATCCTCTGGTAATGCCAATTAATGATTACCCAGTTGCAATCGCACATTCTCGAGCCACTTAAACACTCTGGGCGCTGACAATTAAAATGTTCCCACATTTCGTCGTCCTCCTCTTTCATTATACAAAAAGTCCTGCATCGCTGGAAAATGGGGAAAAAAATTAGGGTAGGGTCCAAACAATTAAATACTTAGTAATTTTCTTTAACAGTAGTAAACGTTTTTATCATAATTAAGAGGTTTCCAAACGTGTTAATTAATTTATAGTTTATCCTGATAACCCTTTCTTCTTTCTCCCTGTACATGCCAAAAATAGATCCGACTTTAAATAATTGTGGTTTTAGATTAGGTAACTTATTTTTTACCATTTAAACAAATAAATAATTAAAGATAAATATTTGTCATTGGCACCTATTGCATAGAGTATACTTGTTTAAACAAAAAATTATTATAATAATGTAATAAATATATAACCAGATCGTCCGACTCCGATATACCCTTGAACACTAGTAGGCTAGAGTATGTATATTATAATTTAATTTTCACCAGGACGTCAGAACACAATATACCATTAAACTCCACCAATACCGTGTGTAAAGAGGACAGCGGACATCATGCGGTTGTCCCGTTCTGCCTGCCGGAAACGGAAATGATAAGCGAGTGTCAACTTGCCAACTGCCTTTTCAGCTTCCTCTGCCCTGCGAGTGTGTGTTGTGGTTTTATTTCTGTAGAATTTAATTAGAAAAGTTGGCTGGGCCTGGTCAGGTGCATGACCCACCCCACCCCCCTTCGTCACCCTTAACCTCACGTGCTGCTGAAGACGCCTCATTTACTCTTTTGGCAGAAAAGTCGAAGCCACTTTTGATAAGTGCGTGTTGAGAAAAAGTTGCTCGAATTTCCAGCGTCACCGAAAACGTGACAAAAACTTGTCAATGCATGTAAGAGTGGAGGGAAGTCGGGGTGTTGGGGAAAGTGAAGGGGAGGTCCACCAGTGGAGGTCCAACAGAGCGTGTCGAGTATGCAAAATAGGATGGGTTGCACGGACAGCGACAAATGTCCGACATTAGCTGGAGAGCCATCGCAAAAAAAGTTGGAATAATATCATAGTTTTGGGCCCGATAAGCGAGATACTCTTTAGGCTCTTATATGTATTTCAAATTGTAATAACAGGTAAATTGTATATTAAGCTTTAGGAGTTTTTAATGATTTTTTATTTATCCTTTCAAAATAAAACAGCTTAAGAAAAAATAAAATCAATAAATCTAAGTCAAAATTAACGTAACATATTGTTACAGCCTTAATTCTTTAAAACAATATATATACATTTATATATATATTTATATATATATATATACATTCATATAACAATTCTCCCCTTTTACCATTCATAGCATTTATGCATTCAAAAAGTATTTTTAATAAAATGTACCCCTTAAATAGTGATAAAAAAAATTTATAAACGAAATTTAAAAATAAGATTTGGGACTATATTCGGATAAATATTAATTGGGCAGTTCAACTTTTTTGGGTGATCCAGATATTTTAGCTTTAAACATTTAAACAGATGAAATTTGAATATCTGTATTTCTTATTTATTTAAAACCTCATTACCTTTAATTAACAACAACAATTATGTTTGAACCGGTTTCCAGATACTAACTTCTTAATCAATTCACAGGACCCCCGAAAAGGGTATATTCTCGATGTGGAAGTGAGAACTTCGAGCAGGACAAAGTAGAGGAGCAAGTTCGCTGCTGGTAACCTCGTTTATTATGTCATCGGGACAGCAAGCGGTGAAACCATTTCGAGGGCGTCAGTGTTGCGCCCAACACAGGTGATTGGGCAGGTGTGCAAAAAAGGGGGCGGAAGGGTGGATGGGCTGATGGGTGGATGGGTGGATGGGCGGATGGGTTGTTGGGCGGATGGACAGAGGTACGTGCCCGGGGCAGAGGCGTAAAAGTGTGGGCAGGACCAAACCGCGCGAGCGAAAAGTTTCCCAGGTAGAATGTAGTTGGAGACCCACTGGAATGCAGCGGGCCGCAACGAAGTCTGCAACTTGCCGGGGATCGGGTGTGCCGGAATCGTAACTGTAAACTTATGCAACTGGGCAACTGAGCTTGTTTAGATTTATAAGCTGCCACTGTCCTTGGATGGACGGTGGGTGGTGGGTGGTGGGTGGTGCAAGGTGGATGGTGTGTTTTCCCTGGTCGCTGGTAAAATGCATTAAAGGTAAAAGTTGAGTACGGAGTTGATGTTTCCTATCAACGGGCAGCAGATATTGAAGTTTGGCTCTTTACGAAGAAGGCACACAACGAGATCCCTGATTTGAGGTCCAAACTGAGAATTCGTTTTGTAAGAAAAATAAAGCTAACACAAGATATACATTTTTACATTAGTACATCTACCAGTAGTGAAAGTATTTATAGACTGCAAACTACAAGCCAGGCGTTCGTAAAACTGTCAAAATGTTAGTTCACAAAATAAATTTAGATACCAACCAGTGCCGAATCGCATATTATGATAATAAATAAGCTGGAGGATGTCTGAAAAAAATCCAAACAGGTGATTCCTAATCAATGTATGAACAAAGAGATGCAAGCTTTAACAGATTTTAATCTCTTCCGGTATTTGACAGCTACAAAAACATTTTCCCTAAATTGTTAGTGAAGGTAAGAAAACTCAAAGACCTTCCCCTCCCAATCAAAAGATAGCCAAATCAAGAGCGACGAGAGTCCGAATGCTCGTTGCAAAGAGGTTGCACAATCATCTGAAGGAATGAAGATCTTGGATGATCATATCATTGATGAGTGCGTTGATTTGCCAGAAGGACGCTTGCCGCGTTGGTGGTTCGGCGGCTTCTCCTCCGTCTGCGTGGCCTTCGCGGTGGCTCCAATAGACATCGTGAAAACTCACATGCAGATACAGAAGAAAAAGCGGACCATTCTAGCAACAGCGACTAAAATTTACAAGTTAAGGGGTAAGTGGTTTCCATAGTTGAAAAAACTACTTTTAGCATTAGCACCAGTAAAATGGCCTTATTATGAATTTGTAATTTCTATATCAAATGACACAAAGGCCGATCCAATCGAAGTACTATAATAAATAAAACAAATTTATAAACCCAATAAATAATGTTATGTCGGAAAGACGTTTATATATATATCCTTAAGATATCGATTTTTAAATCGGCTTTTGATGATCCTCAAGAACTCTTATACGGATCAGTACATCTATTTTTTCATTTACTTGAATTTCTCTATTGCAGGTTTCCTGGGTTTCTACGATGGCTTTTCGGCTGCCATTCTGCGACAGATAACCTGCATCAACATCCGCTTTATTGTGTATGAAACTGGCAAAAATATGTATCACGTAGAGGATAATTCATATCTTGGTAAAATGATCCTGGGCTGCGCGGCTGGTGTTTGTGGATCGGTGTGTGGAATACCCACCGACCTGCTTAATGTCCGGATGCAGACCGATATAAAGAGCCAGCCGGACGAGCGACGCAAGTATTTTTAAGTGACTTCCGAATAATCGCCATCAATCTTAGGGTTTCTTTTCCCTCGATTATAGCTATAAGCACGTCTTTGATGGCCTCGTTCGCATACCCAAGGAGGAGGGCTGGATGGCACTCTACAAAGGTGGATCGGTAGCAGTCCTAAAGGCAGCTCTGGGAACTTGCAGTCAAATTGCATTATATGACATTGTGAGTCTTGAAGTTAGATCATAAAATAACTTATTATTTTAATGTAATTTGTAAAATGTTTTAAATCCTTTATTTTAAGATCAAAACGGAAGTGCGAAGAAATACTTCTGTAAAAGACGGTATACCGCTGCATTTTCTGACTTCGCTGGCGACGTCGATCATTTCGTCTGCAATCACCCATCCCTTGGACGTGTTGAAGACCTTACTGATGAACTCTAGACCCGGCGAATTTCGCAGCACCTTCCACGCGGCCAGGTACATGATGCGATTCGGCCTCATCGGACCCTACCGAGGATTCGTCCCTGCGATGGTGCGAAAGGCACCGGCCACCACTCTGCTATTTGTATTGTACGAGCAGTTGAGGCTTCACTTCGGAATATGCTCCCTGGGAGGGGATAAAGTTGACGGGAATTAGGAATTAGGTAGGATTTCGCTTATGCGGAGAGTACTGTCCACCCGGAAAAGAAAAATAGCCCCGTGAAATGTTTAATAATTTTTTTGTACTATAAACAAAAGTATACAAAATGTTCTTCTCACTTTAATATGAAGAAATGTAAATAAAAAATCAGCTTTCTAGAATCAGAGCTCTTTGAGCATATTGTGTTCGCCAGATTATTGACCCAAAGAACCTTTTCCTTCCGCTGAGCGGAACATCAACCACAACTGGTCGCATTATAAATTGATTACAACTCGCAACGTGACTAATGAACATTAATTTGTCCAACTCCTTGACAAGAAGGACGCAGTTGTGCCAGCAAAGTTGGGGCTAAATGCCAGCACGTGCTGTGTGTGTAGTTCTAGTTTGGATGCCGACGCCACGATGACAACTAGGCGTATGAGCAACAATGCCAGGACAGCGATGGCGGAGTCCACCATCGTGGCATACATCCTTCCAGCGCCATTTGTGTGGGTGTCGTGTCACGTAAAAGTCGGTAAATGTTGCACGTATGGACGGCGTTGTTGGGTGGGTTGTCGCTGAACATATGGAGGACACTCTGGCTATTACTACACACGCACCCACTCTCGGCTACTCTTTAATCGTGATTGCAATCATTGTGGAAATTGAATTTGTAAGTAGGCAATTTTAGGACGACAGGAACGCGCAAAAATAAGAATAATGCGACGCAATGTAACTGAATTAGAGCTGAACAACCTTAGTATTTATGTATACCCCTCCTTTTCATTTCCCGCTTCAGTAGAAAAAAATGTGGCTTATTTTTGTGATCTACTTAATAATCTTTCGTTATATACATCAACATCCCTTATAAGAAAATTTACTTTTGTACATTTTCATTTGTGAATATTTTTCTTTTCTTTTTTAAAATTAAGGCACAATATATACTTAATATTTAATCTCTATTTATTACAAATTTTTCCTATAGGAAAATCAAAAAGCTATAATCTATAAATTAAAAGGCTTTTAATTAATTTTCGTAAAAGGTAGCCAATTTTTGTGCGAGTGTTTAGCCATGACTCATCAGTTGGCCCAAACTAACACTTATAACGGGACTCTTACGACTTGCGATTGCATCGACGATGAGTTGTGCCCCAGTGGCGGAAGACAAGGCTGAGGGGTCTAAGGTTGTGGATTCGTTGTTTTCCGTGCTGCTTGGCAGGTTATTAGTGGCTCGGGCTGCACATTTTGTTTGCCATTAAAATCATTTGCATAGTTTGTATTTATGCAGACGCTTTGGTAGTGGCAAGCTCGCATCGTTTTGCATTATTAAATATAAAGCATACGCACTGTTGACCCGTTTTTGGTGTAGGTTTTGCGGGCGCTTCGTGTGTGTGCAATCAATGTGGAATTGAATGCTTTATGAGGGTGCATGCGATTTTGTTTTGCAAATAAACACTAGTACGAGTCCAGGAGTCAGGAAGTGACCAATTATTTGACCAGTGGGCAGGATGCCATTGAGGTCAAAGGTTTGAGTATGTGGGTTGGGGTAAAATAGTTTGAGTTGTCTCTGGATCTCACAGCTTAGTGATGTTGACACTTGGCTGTGTTAAATATTGATAACAAACTTGACTGGATATTTAGAGAAATACGACTTAACAGTAAAACGTAATTACGTAAGCTGTTTATTATTTTGTAATATTTTATAAAATTACAGGCAAAAAATTATGAAGTCGGTCTTTGATTATATTCATTGGTTTGCCAAATTAAGAAACAGTCCGTAAAAATACCCCATTAGTTTTTCCACACTTTTGCATCTAGATCTTTAAACGAATGTACAACTTCTTCGTCGTATGTTACGTGCTAGCCTTTATTTTCTTCGATTTGATAGTATCCAAAATGAACACGAATTTGCTCGAAACTCAAAAACGTAATGATCGTATTGGGCACCATACGCAGAAGGCAGGGCACCATGCCGCGAAAATATCCCCGCGGCCCGAAGCGCAACATATAGGCATAGCTACTTAACAATCCTTTTGAATTCACCATCTTGATGGTCCTCAAGTTCTCTATGGGTTTGATGATTGGTACGCAGATACAAGAAGCCGTTGTGGAACTAATCAGGTGCAAAAAGGTGTTGTCGTGCTTGAGTTTGAAATATTCCATGTAGATTTCCTTGGCCTGTAGAAGAGATTATTGTTAAATAAGTTACATTAAAATATATATTAGTTATTTTCTTTGATAAAGAAAATCAAATAAAATAGATTTTAAGCTTTTAAATAGTATAGTTCTATATTATTGACTCCCAAAAAGATGGACACATTTTCTTATTGGTTTTTGGTTTTAAGAATGGAAAAATTATTTGAAAACTTTTATATATTATAATTCATTTTTACCTGATCGTAGGCTGCAACCTGGCCGATTGTAATGAAGCCCGACCGAACCAATGAGAGGAAATATCCCCTGTAGAGCGCCTTCCAGCCCTCGTCCCTGGTCACACGGTACAATCCGTGGAATACATGTCGGTAGTTCCACCGCTTTTCGCTGGGTAGGGCGCGGTTGACCTGCATCCGGGTGTTAACCAACTCCGTGGGTATGCCCACCACCCCCGCCACACATCCCGCCACTCCAGCGACGAGCACCTTGTCCAGCCAGTCGAATGGATCGTCCATCTGTTCCTTGCCCAATTCGTATAAGTGAAACCGAAGCGATGTGTATGTCAGCTGCCTGAGCAACTGGGCACTTAGACCGTCGTACAGTGAAAAGAAACCTAAAAAGGAATTCAAAACAGGAAACAAATACTATAGTCGATATTTAGGTTTAAGATTTCACATTTGTAGTGCCATGTAAGTACCATAGGTCGTGATGGCGTGTCGCAGACTGGAAGCCATACTCCAATCCTTCTTGATGCTCACCATTCGCGACTCGATCAAGTCCAAGGGTGCCGTAAAACACTGTGCGATAGCCGCCGCCACTCCGCCGCTCCACCAACGTGGAATTATCCTGGGATCGTAAAGTAGAATCTCGTTTAAAAGACCTCAATAAAACTCACTCCGGTTCGTTCTTTGCGTCATTGGAGGCTCCGAATAGAATTGCCAGCTTGCTGATTGTTCTTCTATCTGCCACTTTTTCGAACGTATACCTCTCGCTGTTCTTATGTCCATTTATATTGTTTTGGGAACTTTTTCGAATCGCATTGATTTGACAGAAAAGTGAATGTGTGTATACTTTTGAATAATTGGCCGAAAAAGGTACTGCGTTTTTTAATAACGGAGATGACTACCGTTGCCAAAAATATCACAATGATTTATAATTAATTTTTAATTTTATTTAATAACTTCAAATTTAATGCGGCTAAAACAAGAAAAGTATTTTTGGGTTTGAGAAACAACACAATTAAGGCTGGGGTAGGGCAAAAAGTATCTTAGTTATCTTTATGTTTTACTAAACTTGATTTTATTTGCCATAAAGAAAGCAAAGCACATATTTTTAAGAGATCTGTTTGATTTAGAATATTTATGTAAATTTGTTATCAATTTCTTGATTTATTCAATTGCAATAATAATGGTGGGCTTAATACCCAGAGCATTCACCAACTTCAGGAACTCCTCCTGTTGAATCCAGCTGCCATCAACATGAGTACTCACCGTTTACTAATTGCTGTCCGGGAGTCCGAACTAATTGAGCCAGCTCCTCCTTTTTCCTGCTGCCTGTTCCCCAACTTTCTATGCTGCGTTCAGTGAAGGAGTGACATCCTCATCCACATCCACATCCATGCAGGTGATGCAACGTTGTTGAGTAATTTGGCATAGTTTCGTGGCTTCGAATTCGACACTCCCCCCATTTAAGAGTGCAGAACTTTCTGAAATCCTTCGTTGCTCGCACAGTTGTCATGGCATTATCACGGCCATTAGGCATCAGCCAGCGATGTGAGTATGTACCACCTAGCAGTTCGAAATTGGTTGCAACTTTCGGACATATTAGAGGCAGAGCCGCGGGGCGCTGCAGAAAGTTGTTTTTTGTGGGTCAGGAAGTTAGGAGATTCGTGGCAAGCATTACGGACAAGTTGAGTGGCTTCAAATTGTGGATCAATCTTTAAATTTAAAAGTTATCCACAATAGTTAAGTATTTCAAATCGTTTTGTGCTTGTTTATAATGCCATTTATGTTCTTAGAAGTAAAAATGTTTAAAAATTAAATTATCATAACTGATTAAACTAAGCGATTAAAATAAAATTTAAAAGATACATTACTTTTTACTTTCAAAAAATTACAAATTTATATAAAATATTGATGTTTGGATGTAATAATTTAGGTATATTTAATTTGTACCTTTCGTTTCGACTAGTAAAAACGTATTATTGCTTTATAAAAAGCTATTTTCGAACGAAGTAAAAAGCCTGTGAATTGCCATTTAAATTTCATGAAATAATGAAAAAATAGATTTTCACAGTAAATAAAGCGTGATTGACTGTGCGAAACACGAGCCAATATTCAACCAATACAAATGTGATAAATGATTAACCAACTGAAATATTTATGGCACACTTTTTAGAGCAGAAAATGGTTTCCTCATTAGGCGTCGAAAGCGCAGTGGCATCAATCAAGCGCTCAATCAATCAATTTGCCATTTATTTTACTGCCAGCAATTTCAGTGCACATCGCCAAATTGCATTAAAAATAAAACAACAACTACTACAAAAACTGCTTCCGCACAAATTTATTTATTTGAATTTTTATGAGCGAGCACTAAAAAATTGATTCATAAATTTCTACAGCGCAAATAAACTAACACAATAACCCATTCAATATTTTATCCTTCCACAGATATATCTCAGTTTATAGTTGGTCGTTACTGTAGGGTATGGGCTGTGGGAGGGGCAGTTAAACTTACGCAGCCCCTACTCATTCACACACTTTTGCCTGAGTTGGCGAAATATTTCTCCTTCTTTATTTCACTTCGGAATTGTTCTTTTCTTGTTTTTATTTCATTGAGCTTTTCAATTTGCGCTTAATGTGAAATAATATATCACGTATGCACTTGCTCACTCTCCGACTAACTCGCTCTGCAAATTTACTTTTGCAAATTTAATGCTACACTTTCCTTGAAAGTTTTTGAAATACGCGTCAATTTGATATGCCTCAACATCGACGGCATATTTGGCCCTGCTCCGACTTTTTGTTTTTACCCTGCAATTTTTCTGGTGGCACATATTATTCTGTAAGCCTCTGAACCTCTCTGAACCCCGAATCCGCCTCGACTTTTCTGTTTGCAAGTATCTTAGGTTATTAGAAAAGTTTGCGGAGTGACTAAGAGGCTACAAAAAGTTGCCAGTCGAAGAAAATTGCATATTCAAGTTGTTTAGGCCATTTCGGACAACCGATAAAGACAAAGCTAGCGCCTGATCTTGGGCGGATCGTTTTGCACTTAGGCTTGTTTTTTAAAGTTTGTTTCTAACAGAGCTTACAATTTATAACAATTAATTGATTGGTCAAAGTTATGCTGTGTTTTGGTAATTATTGACTAACTAACTTTTAATGGAAATTTAAATATTTTTTTCGAAATTAATTATATTTATGTTGGTCTTTTAAAAGATAAGTACACACAAATAAAAGTATATTTTTTACGTATACATAAATATATCCAAATGAGCAATTACTACTTCTTTATTAAAGAATATTATTAAATAAAATTCTTACTCTTTTATCGTCTTTATAAATCATTTTTGGAAATACCTTTTTATTGGCTTGCTATCCGTTATTTTGTAAGTTTAAACCAAGAAAAATTAAAGTTTAAATGTTAATGTACCAATGTCAATACTTATGTCAAAATGAATTTGTTTTAGACATTCCTGTTTTGAAAACAATTTGAATGGAATCATTTAAATATGCAGCAGGGTTTTTTGCATTTTGCAGTTGCAGCGCATGCAACAGTCTGTAAGTGTGTGGACCAAATATCCTGGCCGCAAGTCCCTGCTAAGCCCCATCACTTACCCCCCTCATCTGCTGGCAAACTTTCGCCAAGTATAACAAACAAGAGCTTGCAACGGCTGTCGATGCCGCTCCGCACCGCTCCAACCACATGTAATGCAGCTGCAAGCCGACAAACTTGGCTAACTCAGTCGGGAAAGCAAGGAAAGCAGGGAAAAGTGTGACAAAGGCGGCGGGGATTGAGGAATATCGGAAGATTCTATCAAGTTTTACCCCCTTTTTTTTGTCTGCTTTGCCTTTGTGGCTTGTCTGGTCGCTCTACTCCTGATGCACTTTTTTTTTGGCCAATTTTCGTGTTGAACTTTTTTAAGAAATGTTTTTTGCCAAAATATCAACATTGCAACAACTGCAGACAGGGATCACAGGTGGCAAGTGCAAATGACCCAGCCAAGTCCGAAGAAACAGGTGCGGGTCAGGGGTTAAAGGGTTACAGGTCCTTGTTGGTAAGGCAATCAACTGGTCAAAGCTGTCGCAGGAGTCGCTCAAAGGATCAGACCCCAAACCAGTCACGAATCGAAGTAACCGGAGCTCTCGCAAAGTGCTACGAAAATTCTAAATTCCATTTTACGATAATACACTTGGCAGGAAACCAAAAAGGAAAACAAAAAATAACACAACAAACTAAAAAGTAATGAAAAACAGGGCGAAAGATTGATAGTACCGGCAAGCCAAGTTGGCCCTTGGTCCGAAAAAGGCCAGCTTTTTAGCCTTCTCGGGCATCTGGGCAACATGTGCCGAATAATAATAACAATACAAACACCCACAACAAACAGCTGCAAATTCACTGCAGTTGTTGGCCAAACAAACTCTTCGATACCGAAATGAGATACCACTTATTCGAATATTCTGAAAGGGGCAATGTTTTTATTGCTTTAAAGTTTCAGGTTTTGACTTCACAAACTTGTTTTTCTATTTTTAATAACATTTTATCATATTGTTTTCTACGTAAACATTTTAGGATACAACAAAAATACATTGTCAATGTAAATATGGTATTTAGTTTAGAGTAGGAGACATAATTTAATTTAACTGCTAGCAGTAGCAATTAAAACCTAAATTACTCAATATGATTTTCCTTATTAAAAAACTTTACTTACTATGATACTAATTTTTGGCAGTTCTCTAGCAATAACGAGCATAGAAATCAAAAGTTTAAATCTATTTAGTATCGGCTTATTATGAACAAAATTCTTCTTTTTTTTAATACAAATTTTAAGTCAATTAACTAACGACCACAGCATACTTTTAACCCAACCAACGGACCTTTTAATGATATATTGAAAAATTTGTTCAGTACCCTAGACCTGAAATCGAAATACCTCTCATAAATATTAACAATTAACTTCAGTTCCTTCCAGCCCCATACGGACAGGATATCCGCCAGCCCGAAAGAACATACTAGCCCGGGTATTCCGAAAAAGCCCAGACAAGGGCTCAAACCCCGTGGCTCTGGGCATTCAGCGCCGACAACGTGGCGTATGCGCAATTATCAGGCCACCGCGGCAAGGCGAGACATGCAGAAAACTCGTGGCAAGAGTTTTGACTTCGAACCAGCACTCCGGGCAAGTCGTGCCGTAAGATCCGTTGGGTTATTTAAAGTTCGCGTTATTAATAAATGCCTCAGTGGGGCAGTCGCTTCGCCTTGCTTTGGCCCGATATGCAGCGCTTGATTAGTGCAGGGCCTGACTTATGGGTTCTCCATCGGTTTCTGCTACTGGGTGGGCTCCGACTTACTGCAAATTACTGAGAGTTTTGCTGGGCGCAAAGTTTGGCGCGTTATCGTGGAAAGTTTAATGGAACTATGTCGTGCCGTGCAGCACCCCCAAAGCAGGCGGTCCAACCCAGGCAGCCCAACCACACACCACCCGTGGGTGCAATGCATCTGCGATGGCGGGAAACGAGGAGTTAGGCGTCCGTGTTAAGCCTAGACGGTTTTCTCAGCAGGGTTTCCACTAATTGCCGAGGACACCCACACATTTGACAGATTTGTTAGCACAAAAATTAGAACGAAAATTGGGTAGTGCAGCTAATGAATTAATTATTGTGGGAGAGAATAGAACAAGAAAATTAAGCTGATGCGGAATTTCATTAGTAAGGAAATAGTTTAGAACTTTGAAATTTATAATTAAATAATATTTCGATGTTTTTAAGCAGTTCAATCTTTGAATTAACAATCGAACCCCATTTGTATTTTATAAATTTGATATATCATTTTCTTCTGTCGAAGAATTGGCGAATTGGTTTTTGGACTCTTGGCTTATGGTACTTTGTACTATTATTAGTAAATCATTAAATACAAACATGAAAATTAAAATATTTTCAAGATTCTCAATTTAAACTTTGTAAGGTATTGTTTCAGCAGGAATTTGTATATGTTATTATAAAAGTTTAATGTAAATACATTTTTATAGAACGATTAGTTTCAAGTATTGTTACGGTCTAATAACCACTGACCAGCAATTACCCTAGGCTTATGCCAATAATGAAGATGCCGCTCCGATTGTTGCCTGTCATCCGGGGTCAAAGGGCCAAGAATCGCAGAACTCCATGTCCCATCAACGCAATTTGACCCACAATCAATGGTTTATGGTTAGCCAGGGGGCGTGGCCAGTGGCGGGTCATGTCATCGGATGAAGAGCTCGATTGATGATTGACAGTGGGCGGGGGGAGTGGCAGGAAACTATTGACTCTCCACTGTCTGTTTGTAATTATCGGAATATCTAAAATGGTTTCCCATAGCCTGCAGTTAATGCGCCTTAAATTGTTGCCCCAGGCTGTGAATAACTTCCTCAAAAAGCATTTAAAATGTTGAAAAAAGCTTATGCAGGGGAAGGCGTTTTTTCGCCCCATTTCCTGTTTACAGACATTTAGCAAAGTTTTCCCTTTCAGTCCCTGATATGCAACTTAATTACTCTGTGTTTTCCACATTTGTTTTCCTTTAGTTCTGCACAAACAGGGAAGCTTACTTACTGTACGTAAATAAAACTTCTATAATTAATGTTTGCCCCGCGTTCTCCGTGTTATATTTGCTGCCTTCATTAGTAACTTATATCCAAACGGTCGATGTGTAATCCCATTTTGTTTTGCTCAGGGAAACACTTGTTGTTCTTCGAATAAAAATCTCACTTGATAGTTGATGGACCGTCCGGGTAAGCCTGGCAAGTAGGATTTACAATACATATATAAATTCTACAAAAGTTTTTTGTTTTTATTTTACACAAAAAAAATAAATTTACATAAATTACATATATATAAAAATGATTTTTATTCGTTCTTATAGTTTTGCAGAATTTAATTATACAAATGAATACTTTAAGCAAACGTTAATCAAAGACTATCAAATTTTTTTAATTTATTCAGTGGCTGTAACCTAGGGCAACAAGTTATTTTTTTTTAAAGCAACATCTATTTATTTTTTTGTAAACGCCTGTTTTCAATTTCAATTAAGTTTATCCCGTATCGTTGCTTTGAAAGTGATACTCTTTAATGCAGAGTCCCCTTTACTACTAATTTATTGCTAGAAAAAAGGGAGTATCTTAAAAAGAAGGACTCCCCTTTGGTTTACCTGCTCCACTATCGCTGCATATCGCATTGCCAGTTAATTTGATTGACATTTATCCGTTTTATTTTAGTGAGTGTGTTTTTTTTTTTATCCAAGACCCCACGACCATATCAATGGCGCGATGGTGGCGTGTGTCTTTGGCCGGGCTCTTTCTCTTGGTCTACACTTGACACAGTGTTTGCACTTGGCGCTGATTTAATCTCTGCGTTGCCTTTGGCCGTGGGCTTGAGAATGGGCGGGTCCGGGACTGTCTGGGCCCCCATTGTGGGATCTGGATAGCATGGCTAAATGCCCGCCCCTTCCCCGGAGCTCAATTGGGCGCGTGATAAAGAGCAGGAAAAGATGGAGCAAAGTCTGGAAAAAATAAAATGGGTGAAATAAATCCAACTGTTTGCCTTTGGTCTCTAGGTGTCTTCATGGCAGTTTCCATTTGAAGAGTGCAGTCGGCAAGAAAAAAAACCAAGGGGAAAAATTATTGAACATCTGATGCAGTTATGATAATGTCAAAGCATTTCCACTCAAGTGACAGTTCGGCTAGATTTCGATTATGACAGGCAAATGGAAGAGTTATTGCAAATTAATGCAAACCCAAACCCCTCGAGAGGACTGACATCGATTTGGGTCAGTAATTGTTGAAGGTGCAGAGCAAGTTTTCGTCTTTAATGGGCAAACTTTCCGGTTTGGTTGCAATATTTAATGGCTCTTGTGGGTGCAAGAAAATATTTTAAGCAATGAAAAAATGTTCAAATAAACATGCTCACTAAATTATTTCTATTCAATACCATCTATTAAATCATAAAAGCACAATGGAATGATTTAGAGAACTCCTTTTTATTTCACTAGGCAACACAGCATACAACCCCGCAAACAATGTCCTTTTTATATTGTACACAAATGGTTATATTTTATTTTCGGGGCTGACCAACTTGCGTGGTCCAAACAATATTTATAATAATTTACAGAATTTATGTGCAAACTTTTTTATGTGTTTGTGCCACAGACTCAGTTAATTTGGCAAAGTTTTGCGGCTTGTTCGGCGGTCAATTGTGTAATTTGTGTAGAATTTATATCTACAAGCTTAGGGGTGGCTGCTTGCTCCACCCAGAGTAAATAATTTGCATTTTCCACCTGAACACTTTAATATAAAGAGATGAAAAGGACCTTGTAATTATAGGTGTTAAAAACCCCGTACCTACCTTTGTTATAAGCTAAAAATATGACAAAGAGTGCTGATGTAAATATATAAAAACTGAACATTTTCGCATTAATTAGATTAACAGTATAATTTTATCTTCTAGCTGCTAACACAGCTGTGATAATATATAAAAACATAAATAAATTAAAATGTAACACAAGGATATAAAATTGCTATTGATTGAAAATTAAAATTTAAATTAAATTAACAAGATATTATACATTTTAGCCCACACCTCCTAAAGTTTCAGAACCAATAAAAAAAGTGTGATACCTGGGTGTAAATGCAGCTTTGGATATGTGCCAGTCGAAGCAAATTGGAGTTTACGTATACTCTCCGTTTTAGGCGGGTGGACTTGGGGGCGTGGCTGTGGCCATAAAAGCCCTGGCCTATAATTTAAGCCGGCAACGTGTTATCAGACTTAATATGTAATACATTGTGGTGGTCAGTCGGGATTGGTATGGGCATTCGGGAGCGTCGAGTGCTGCACAAAGTTGGTCAAAACAATGCATCCCCGCGCCCCATTGTTTCGGACTAAACCCTATCCTACGCTCGAGTGTTTGTGTGCTCGGCCGATTTGGCCCTTTGTTTTGGCTTTTGTTTTTGAAATGCACATAAAATGCGTTTTGCTTTTGTCCTATGTGTTCCAATGCAAGCGTTTGAGACTCATATTTTATTGATAGGCGGCAGGGTGTTCCCTGGACTGGGGTGAATAATTCCACATTCCGCACTTTGTGGTTCAGCGAAGCGACCAAATGAGCTCTATCAGGGAAACTCAATTTAATCCGCTTAGGTACATTTTATCTCTGAAGAACCACAGCAATTCAGAAGTTATAATTATTTTTGAAACTGTGAGTAGTAAAATAATGTTATTCATTTTATTCCTATTAGGTTCTATAAGCTGTCCTTATCTAAGCGAAAAAAAGGCGAAAATCGGAACTTATGTCAGGAAGTGCGGCCGTATTGCCTTCTTTCCAGTGTAATAATAATAATAATACAAACTATAAAAATGTATATGTCCAGTTCATTAGATGTTTGCTAGATAACTGCATTCAAATTGATTATAAGCAATTTGAACTGACGCGATCTCAAGAGCAAAAACTTAAAGATAGCCCTGTTGTAAAGCACTCTCATTCGTTGCCAATAAATTCCTACCATACCATACCTACCCTAGTTTTTTTTTAGAAAACATACATAAACAGATTAATCTATAACGTAAACCTAAATGTTTTATATGTTTTTGTTTAACAATGAACTTAGGAAGTAACGGTAAAGTTTAAATAATTAACAGCACAAAATTCAGCGCCTAACAGCACGAGATTCAGAGAGTCAGCTGTTATGTGGGCAATCCCCACGTCTGGTCACACTAATTCTGACAAACCGAATGATTCACCAATAAAAACAACGTAAATTTATCAAATTCACCTGCTCAGGTTGCAAACCAACTGCCAGAAACTCTTTCGGTTCTTCATTCGCTTTAGTAAATCCATCAAGCTGGGTAACGACATGTCTACGAGTAATATGGAAAGTAAGTGGAGTAGAGCGATGACGCCAGACAAAGAATTTGCAATCACCCACACCTCTTTTTTTTATTTTTTGCTTCCTAGAACATCTTTTCAATCTAAAGTTTGCTGTAAAAGAGCTGGAGCGCAACTCTAAGAAATGCGAGAAGGAGGAAAAACTGGAGAAGGTGAAGGCCAAGAAGGCGATCCAGAAGGGCAACATGGACGTTGCCCGCATCCACGCAGAGAACGCCATTCGCCAGAAAAACCAGGCGGTTAACTACCTCCGGATGAGCGCCCGCGTGGATGCGGTGGCCAGCAGGGTCCAGTCCGCCCTCACCACCCGCAAGGTCACCGGCTCCATGGCCGGCGTGGTCAAGGCCATGGACGCGGCCATGAAAGGCATGAACCTGGAGAAAATCTCCTCGCTGATGGAGAAGTTCGAGTCGCAGTTCGAGGACCTTGACGTCCAGAGTTCCGTGATGGAGGGCACTATGTCCGACACTGTCACCACCTCTGTGCCCCAGGGCGATGTCGACAACCTGCTGCAGCAAGTGGCCGACGAGGCTGGTTTGGAGCTCAACATGGAGCTACCCAGCGGAGTGCAAAGCCAGACGGTTGGAGCCTCGACGGCCGTGTCCCAGGAGCAGGACGAGCTCACCCAGCGACTGGCTCGCCTTCGCCAAGCGGAATAGATCAAGCGAAGCCCTGTCCGTTGAATTTCTCTGTTTTAGCAATTAAGTATAAATCCAAAATATAAATAAGTTTAAATCCAGTGAGTCATAATTCTTCGATGTTGCATGCTTCAGAATAAGGAACTGATAAGTAGCCAACAAAATTTTTAAAAAAAACTTTTGAAAACTGCCTAAGTGTAGTATTGCTTGTCAGCTCCGTATAGCTATTAAACTATTGCTTATAATATAAAGGGACTTTCACGAATCTCTCCAGGTTTATATATCAGTTGGCTTACAATTGTAACGCGATTTTTAAACTGTTATTGTGTCATTAAATGACTTGCTTGTTTCTACATTGATTGTTCTACAAATGCTAACACAGAACAACATTGAAATGTCTTTAAAATTCATTATTTTAAGGAATTCCTAGAGATATAACCATATATGATAAACATATTTTAAAAGCTAGATCCCAAATACATTTATTTAAAGTTATTTTGCTATGTTCGTTTACCAAAAATGTAATAGATATGACCATTTTTATATTGCATACAAATTATCAATATTTTTGTATATGTTTCAAGTTTTTGGTTTTTATTTTTCTTAATAAAATAGTAAATGTATGTAGTGGCTTGACTCTTAAAAATAGAATGTGTCAGGGAATCGCTAGATTTCAGGTCCCCAGTTGAGGTTGTGCATGTGGAGGCGGGATGATTGGATTGAGATTGGTCGGTGGCTGCTTGGCGCGTTGTTTTCGTGGCTTACGAGCCGTGGGAGGATTGGACCCAGGTGCTGATCCGGGGACTCCCGTTCCGTCGGTGTCCTGTTTGTTTTTGGGCTTGGGACCCCGGCGTTTCTGCTCCGTTTTTCCTTTGGGGTGAGGTGCCACCATTGGAACTGAGCGCCAATTGTCTCCGTGTTTGTCCAGTCGCCTTTTGAGCAGCTCCACATCGTGATTGCGTCGTCTCACAATCTTTTTAATTCCGTTTACCCTGAGAAATGAGTAACGCACATGTTTGTTTACCTTTCACAGAGCACAGATTTAACAACCCACCTCATTACACAGCGCTCATTTTCCGCCTGGATTCTCTGGCATTTGTCGTACAGCTTTTCCACTAGCTGTTTGTACATGAGTGTTTTTTTATTAAGCAGCATTTTATTAAAATATTGACTAATCTTAATTTATTTACGGGCCCGAAGCCATGGTTCAGTGTGACCAGATGAGGACACATTGAAGGGTGAAGCCAGTGCTGCCAGATTTTGCTTACCTGAAACAGAACTAGTTATTAATTTCAAATTGACTGCGGATAAAATTATAATTATATAAACATGCACAAAATACGAATCAAAATATAAGCTTTAAAATACAGATTTCGATTGCTTGTGAGAGGAAAGGTACCTTAAAGTGTTAGCTTGTTTCAAATTATTATACAGAATCATAATTGCATTCTGGAATTATTATCAAAAAAAAGTTATTAAACTAATAGTTTTATAATCCATTATTGAAAGAAATTAAAGGCGATTTTGACCTTTTAACAAAACTCTTTACAAAAAATTAAAATCTACGTTCTTTGGAACTAGTTTTCCCAGATGTTCTCTCGCACCCATCTGGCAACATTCAAATTTTGCAAACAGCCGTGTAGAATAAACAATTCCACAACTTTAACTTATTTCACCAACAACAACCGGCATGCCAAACAAATCTTCCAAAGCAGACGGGAAGTAACCACCTTATATTGCATTTGCACCAACTATTATGTCAGCGAATGCAAACGCAATCATTATGCCAACAACAACAACAACAACGCAGGGAGCCCAGGGATCGGGAAACCAGATTCCCACAACCAGCACTTCCATAGTAAACAACTTCCGGGAGCTGATCAAGGAGCCGAAGAATCTCGACGAGGCGGCCAACTACCTGTACCAAACGTTGCTCGATGACGCCGTGGCCGGGATCTTCATCGAGACACACCACCTGCGCAAGTCGGGCAACCTGGCCGCCTTGGACGGAGTGCCGGAGGACTCGACGTACCGCATTTGCGAGATGCCCAACCTGGACATATTCGGCATCTCGACGGCCAAGAAGCCGATGGACTGCACCTGTCCCAACTGTGATCGCCTGGTGGCCGCCGCCCGCTTCGCTCCGCACCTCGAGAAGTGCATGGGCATGGGCCGGATTTCGTCGCGAATCGCCTCCCGACGCCTGGCCACCAAAGAGGGTGCCACCTCAGCCCACCTGCACTCGGCCGGAAACGCCGGGGGCACCGACGACGAGGACGACGTGGACTGGTCGTCCGATAAGCGCCGGAAGAAATCCACTCAGAACTCTCGCAACAATGGCTCCAAAAAGAACAATGGCAAAACCTTTTAGCTTGTTGTAAAATATATAAGCGGAGTGTAATTTGCCATAAAAGAAGACTTCTAAGTCGGCCTGAATTGCATTTTATATATTGTTCATTAGGCTAAAGAATTTGGGCACTTATCGTTCTCTGCTGGGCTTCGTAGTCCTCATGACCTACATCTATTTAGATTCTCTAAAATACTGAAGCACTCATGATGTCTGAGTTTCTCTCAGAGCTTTATTCGCGATAAGTTTCTGCCAGGCACATTTATATAAATACACTATGGATTATCAGTTTGCGAAGACCCGAACGTAATCGATCTTCAGAGAGGGTTGCTTCCATGTTGGCAGCCACTGTTCTTGGGCCTGATGAAACTGTAGCTTCGCTTGGGGATGGTAATTGGCCCAAGGTTTTTCATAGCTGGAGGTGCGCAGATTGTCCACAAAGTCGCCAAAACCGCCCACAGAGAGACCCAATGATATGTAGAACTATGCGGAGGGGATTTAAATAAAATTAGTTTCTAATATATGTTCATTTACTCACCATCCTGTCGAATGGGGCCATGGGACCGCCTTGCTTCCATCTGGGATTCAGTTCCAGTTCCGTAAATCCGTTTATCATCTCCCCATAGATCTGCCCATCCACCGAGAACAGCAGTCTATTACTGCTCCAGTCCAAGCTGTAGGTGTGAAAGTCATCGCCAAAATGGGATTTTCTCCGCTGACTCAGCCACAAATCCTCCCGTTGATGAGAGTCCGTGGAGAGTACGGGACCACCGTACAGCGACCTACCATCCACCAGCTTTCCACGGGGCATCCTGAGCACGGAGTTACCCCTGGCCAAGGCCACTCGCAGTTGCCCGGACTCGTAGCCCGATTGTCCGTACCACTCTGTCAAGGGTTCCAGCAGCAGAAGAGGTACAATCCAATCGCCTTTCGGCACTTTGGCCCTTATCTCAATACGTCCGTATTGGAAGGCAAAGGTTTCCTTGGTGCTGACACGAGGTGTTACAATGGGCGGCATTATTCCACTGGGTCCACTGCCCGTCGAGTGCAGCACACACTCCTTGAGTCGGTTGTGGGTTCCCGTACAGCGCTCCGAGAGATCGAGTCTGGAATTGGCTATGGACAAGTCCGGCCGATAGCTGGACCAAAGAAGTGGCTCTATCACAAGGGAGCCATCTTGAACTTTAGCTTTTCCATCATACAACACGAATTCCGCATCCTTAGAATCCAGGGGCAAGCGAACATCGTGAATCCACAGAGATTCATTTAGCTGATCGAAGGTCTCTTCAAACAAAAGTTTTCCCTTGCAGATTGGAACACCGATTTGTGGTGAGACCTGCGTTTCAGAAGGCTCACAGACGGTGGGAGCTGAAGATTCCGAGTCACTCCGTTCGGTGCTCAGTTGGTTGTCATCGGAAAAGTCCTCATCATTGGGTGAGCATCCTCGGGGTCGATAGTTTCCAGCTAGATTGCAGACAGTCAGGGGCTGCACCAGAGACTGGTATACGGCCTTCTCGTGCTGCACACTCGTCCAAAGATATAGGATGTCTTGGGCCCTCAGAGGCCCCGAACTAAAGGTGCTAGTCCATCGGCCGTTCTGGGGCTCTGTTAACCTCACGTTATACTGTCCCTCGTTGATGAAAGATGTGAAATTCCGATTGCGGTTCACATTAAAGGCCACCACTCTAACGCCTTCCTCGTCTAAGTACACATACAAAATGAAAAGAAACCACAATTATTAGACAAGTTTACGTTAAACAAAATAAAACTTGAATTGTATTTTTTTTTTTAGAACACACAAGCATAATAAGCTACTTCTTATTTACCTGGAATGGAAACGATGAAACCATTTTCTTGAAGCTCCACCTTGGGCTCCGGTATCTTGTAGGAATTGGTGTATCCAAGACCAATTAGAAGGACTACTCCAAGGCACAATCCTGGCATTCTGAATCCTCGATCTCAGCACTTGTCTCCAAGAATCCGAAGCTTCTGACTCAGCCTGTGTCTCTATCTCACTGGCAGACCGGTTTCTGTTTCTGTTTCTGCCGTTGGTGCTGGTGCTGGGGTATTATTATTTGTTTACTTTTAGTTGGCCCGGACAATCGCGATTCGGCGAATGCAAATTCGTATTCATATCAGCTCCGCCTGCGATCTGGCTTCTCTGGAAATTAAACATTTTATAAGCTGCTAATAGACCCCGAAACCTTAGTTTTAACAACGCTCCTCTCAGGGATCCCCCTTCGATTGAAAGCTTTCAACAGCTGATGCGATAACAAAAGCTCGACTTACACTGTTAAAAGCAATTGGTCCTGCAAATATATTAAAATCCTTTTTGATTTAACGACGCAAGTGTTAAAATGCTTCAAATAATAATTGTTTAGGCTAATACATATGTTATTTCTGGATTTTCTTACTTTTATCGGAAACTTTCATTTTTTAAAAGTGGTTTTGTAGTTTTATTACAGAAAATATTTTTTTAAGTACATTTAATAATTTGATATGAGCGCAGCTGCGATCAAGGGGAGCTTCAATCGGGCAAGCTTTCAAGATCAAGATTTTCAATCGGATGCTGCAGTTCCACCGTAGAGCTTCTCAGAATAGAACGTTAATCGGATTCTAGTTAGTACATATATTAAGAGTAATTAAATCTGCGCCATGAGCTGCAAAACGCTCTCTTGCTTCTTATTGCTTATTTCAAGCTATGATATTTTGGGTTTTAAGATACCTAGCATTGATTTTGAAATGCTAGAAGAACAAGGATTCGAGGTGTCCATACCAGGTAAGGAATAAATCATATTTGTCTTTGAATTTCTAACACCTTAATTGGTAATATGTTTAGTTAACTTAGTCATATGGAAAAAGCTCTTACGGGTAATTCCTAATAACAAACGAGTTACATTTTTAAATAGCTCAATGTTTTTTTTTGTTTAATTATATCTGATATTGATAAAAGCTGCATTAAATGTTAAATTAAATTAAATTTGATAAAATTTGTTTTAAAAATAAACTTTAAAAACAAAATATAATCTTAAAATGATGGCAAAGCAGCCAGATTTTTACGCAAATAATGGTTAAATCGGATTAATCTCTCATACAAATGATAGCTACTCAAGATTAAAATGTATAAATACATTGGGGCTGAAAGTCCATTTTAAAAAATATAATGTGTAAGATCTTTTCTTCCTAACTTTCCAGATGAGCCTGGCATTCAGAGGGTGTTCTACATGCTTCAAGTAGACGACACCTGTCCGGCCCTAATGGACTATATTACGGAGGCAGTAAATGGGAGCTGGGTTTCCAGGCAAAAGATGAGTCTCCAGAACAACGACAAGCTGCAGATTTCATTGCTAGTCCAGTTTAATGAGGAAATCTTCGAGAAGAGTGAAACTAAGGTGATCCTCAACAAGCGGTTACTGACCACCAGGGACTTCAGCTCGCGGAGCATTAGTTTTCCCTCCGGAGAGGGTGAGTGTCAGGCATTCCTGGCTCCCCAACAGCAAAACAAACGCTGCAAACCCGCCCAAACGATTGTGAGCAGTGGTCGTCGAGCGTGCCAGGGTGAACTCATCTTTGAGGACAACTTTTCGGGGGCACAACTGAACAAGACCACCTGGAAGCACGATATTCGGTATACAAAATCAGTCAAATTCATAGGTAATGTCTTATTAAAATGATTGCATTTCTAGGCAGCGCATGTACCACGTGGAGGAGGAGCTTGTGGCCTTCGACGATGCCGTTCGAAACTCCTTCGTAAAAGAGGGCGAACTACACATAGTTCCCATCGTGGCAAGTGAGGTAACCGAGGGCAGTTTCAAGCTGGGTGATCGCTGTACGGCCGTAGAAAGTCCGGATCAGGAGTGCAATATTGCCCAAGGCAGCTTCTATAGCATCAAGCCTCCAGTTTTCTCCGCTCAAATTCATACCAGAAACTCGTTTAGTTTCAAGTTTGGCAAGATCGTGGTGCGAGCCAAGTTACCCAAGGGGGATTGGCTTTTTCCCTGTAAGTAGAGTTAATATTTTTCCTAAAACATGTATCTTTATGTGGGTTATTTTTCCTTCTTTGTTATTTTAAGATTTGATGCTCCAACCTGTTTCCACTTACGCGGAGACCCACTATGCCAAGCAGTTGCGTAAGTATTATTTGAAGTCTAAATTAATAACAAAAGTGTGAGTTCTTCAATTGACCTTATGTATATAATTGGAAATTCAGGTATTTAAACACTGGTTTTCGTAGAATTATGGTTCATAAAATATAAACACATCGGCTTGAACATTTAAACTCTATTTACAACTTTCAGGAATTGCCTACGCCCGAGGAAACGCTTTTTTGCGCACCAAAAAAGGAGATGACATTTCAGGGAGTCATCTGTATGGCGGTGGTGTGGTTTGGCATCATGGAAACGCCGTTCAGTTTCTCAAGGATAAAGTGAGCAAGACCCACTATGGCGATGGTTTCCACAACTACACCATGATCTGGCAAAGGGATAAAATAACCCTGATGGTGGATGAGGAGGTTTACGGAGAGTTGTATGATGGATTGCCGTTCTTCAACGAGAAGTGCTTTATCATATTTGGAGTAACAGTGGGAGGATTTCTCAATTTTGATGATAGCATATTGGAAAAGGATGTGAAGCCCTATAAAAACAGGGAGCCCCGCGCCGCACTCTCTTTTTGGCAACACCGCGATACTTGGGCACCCACTTGGGGCAGGCAGAGTGCCATGATTATAGACTACGTCAGGGTTTTTGCGGAGTAATTTTGTATGTTGACACAGCAAATGCTTATTGCTGCTAAGTATATGAAGTAAATGTCAGTTAAAAAGATTAAATGTCTTTGATTCCTGAAACAGTTAAAGGTATAAGTATATTTCCATTAACAACAAAAGCCAATTCCATGAAAATGTAAAACAAACTGTTCTTTCATTTTAGAAACGTATTTTTTTTAACAAATGTGATATCAGCTGAAATTATATTAGATGATAAATTGTTTGTCACGTTGTATTATTATTTAAAAATAAAAGTAAAAATCCAATCACATTTTTTTCAAATGTAATTTCTTAAGAAATGGTGGGTCCTTAAAAATTTGAATTTCCCGCCATCGTTCTTGAATATATCCCCGACTTTTCTTCCTAGTTTTGTGCTTACCCTTTGGTTTTATTACCATACATTTTTTGCATCTTTTTTCCGAATTTTTTTTTTTTCAAGAGGTATCGATGTTTCTGGTGGAAACTAGAGTATTTGAAATGAAATAAAAAATGTTCAACAAAACATTATCATCGATATTTTTCTTCCTTGATGGAGCTGTTTTTGCGGTTGACCACGGGTAAATATCGATAGTCTCTGCCAAATATCGATAGACCGATATTTTGACAACTCGATGTTGTATCGATGTTTCTCCACCTCCATTTTTTCCCCGAGACAAGCGAACTGAACGAAACAGAGCAGCGTTTAAACATCATTCCCCATTTCGAGCTAAAAACGTCGTTGAGCCAACCAGGAAGATCACAACGGCGCACCATGCCTTCGGCTGCCAATTCTGCTACTGCTACCACCACCGCTACCGCTGCCGCTGCGACTGCCTCCAACAACAACAGCAGCGCTAGCAAGGAGAAGCGCTCCTCAATCAGTTCGCTGGGCGGATCGGGAGCGGGGGCTGCTGGAGCCGCTACCAATGGCCAGAACAACAACAGCGGCAGCATCGGCGGCAATTTGAATGCGGCGGAGGGCAGCCAAACGGACCTGGCCAACAGCAACAACAACAATGCGAGCAATGGAAACGCTGCCAAGTCGAAGGCAACCGCACCGGAGCTCTATAATCCGCTCAAGCAGATGCTGGTCACCATCGAGCACAAGATCCGGAATCTGGAGAAGCGCAAGGTGAGTATGGAAGAGGGAATCGCTTCGAAATAGGGCCACCTGAAACGCACAAAGGATCTCTTCTTCGGCAGCATGGCCCACCATTTTTATTTTCATTCTCTCCGTGTTGCTTTGTTTCGTTTTGCGCGCACCCCTCATCCCCCTGCCCCTCCCCTTGCCATAAGTTTTCGGGGCTGGCAGATTTTTCGCGACGCCATGTTTTCTAGAGCACGGCGTTGCCGGATCGCAAACAGCGGCCGGCATGTCACATAGAACAAATTGCAAAAAAAAAATATACTGGCGTTTAGGTTCTTTTGTTTAATTTCTTTTCCCAGGCCCAAACTGAGTGATTAAATCAATTGCGTTTATTGACAACTTTGATTCTTGAAAGTTCTTGGCTTGAACAGCTGAGTGGACAGTCAGTGTGGCAACTTCAGCGTCTGGTTCAAAATGATAAAGTTATTTTGTTGCTTTATACAATTTTTTTTGATTTGGTTTTATACTTCCGGAGTTCTGTTACCTCACAATTATGACTCAAGTACAATGTGTTTCCACTTACCAAAATACAGTTAAGTCCCAAAAACAACAGTCATGGAAAAAATTGGGTTGAATATAAATTTGAACTTTTGCTCTTTCTATTTTTATACATCTATTGAATTTCTTCATTTATTTAATTACTGTCAAGTAGTAAAACTTCGTAATCGCAGAACCTTAAACAGCATTGAGTTTATTTTTACTCTGCCTAATGATTAGCTCCCATAAATAGGCCTTAAATTAAACAAAAATACTGTATCCAGCCGTAATTTTTCAAAATTTTGTGCATTTGCGAAAATTGGTTGAGAGATTTTATCTTTACAAGTGTTTATTTCCACAGATAAGCGTTAAAATAAATATGAATTTCCAAAAAAATTGTGTTTCGGTCCTTTGGAAATGACGGCAACAGCTTTAAGGATCGAAAAAGTTATTAAATGTATTAATAATTTACTTACCTTTATTTAATTTATACCCAAATTAATTCGCTAATCTCTCTTATATTAACAGACCAAGCTGGAGTCCTATCGCGCCATTCAGAGCGGCGGCAAGGAACTGAGTGGCGACCAGGCTTCGGCCGTGGCCAAATACGACGCGGTCTTGGCCAATCTGGAGTTCGCACGCGAGATGGCCAAGCATATTCAGCAGCAGTCCAAGGAGGCCGAAAAAGAGCAGAAAAAGCAGGCGCGCAAGGTAAACTCCTGACTTTATATCTTCTGCTGATACTAAAGCTATACATTTCTATCAAAGGATAATTTGGCAAAAGCGATTGCTGAGACGATCAAGATTCGTGAAGTTCTGATTATGCAGAATGTGATCAACTGCTTCAACGACGAACAAGTGCGCAACGATTTTCTGGCCGGTGAGAACGGAGCGGCAAAGTTGGACAGCAGTGATTTGGATGTGCTGGAGAAGTTGTAAGTTTCCCATCCTCAAAGTATTTAAATCATAATCGTATGAAATTGTAAATTAAATTTCTCTAAAAAATATTATTTACTAGTGTATTTTTTGAGTGGCTCAACCATTGCTTAACAAAATTCAAGATTAACTATAATGATTGATTTTTTGCAGCTGCATTGAGTCGCAAACCCGGCGCCCGGAAACCGCCGACGATGTTAGCTTCATTACCACTGCCCAAAAGTCTGCCGAACTGTTTTCGTCTACCATCAATGCGCGTCCCAAGTCTTTTGGCGAAACGACCTTCGAGAAGTTGCGTGCCCTCTTCCAGCAGATTCAGGACTGCGGCTACTTGGACAAGTACTACCTGGTGCCTCTGGCCGAGAGCGCGGTGGCCAACAGCACGGACAGCGGCACCGGAAGCGGCGATGGCGAGGGCGGGGACTTGATGAACAATGGCTCTGGCGAACTGGACACGGAACTGCCATCGGAGCCATCGGCTCGCAATTCGTTGGAGGAGGGACTGGACAAGTTGCATCTGGGCGTGCAAACGGAACTGGAGCAGCATCAACAGCATCAGCAGGAGCGTCCGGTCCATCATCTGCTGGAGCAGCAGCACCAACGTGCTCCTTCTCTGGAGCATCATCAGCAGCAGCAGACCTTAGTGGTGCAGCAACAACAGCAGCAGCAGCCGCCACCACCACAACAACAACAACAACAGGTGTACCAGGCACCTCCTCCGGCTGGAGGAACCACCACGCCAGTGCATGTTCTGTACGCTCCAGCGCCGCCTCCCCAGCAGCAGCCGCAACAGCCGCCGCCACCGCATCCTCACCAGCTGTTAAGTAGTCCCGTGAATCTCCAGGCCTTGCAGACGGGAGCCGCAGCTCCTCCACCGCAGCAGCAACAACAGCAGCAGCCGCATCCAACTCACTTCGCACCTAACGTGCGGGCCGTGGAGCAGAACTACTTCAAGCAGCCGCCGCCGCATCCGCAGGCTCCAGGACTGCAGGCACAACCAACGCCACAGCAGCAGCAATTCATGCAGCAACTGCGTCCCTTGGCGGAGGTCTTGGGCACAGGAAGCTTCCATTTTCTGCAGGACAGCGAACTGGACAATCCTGAGGCCTTGGCCCCACCGCCTCCGACCAATCAGGGATTGGTATTCGAGCAACAGCCGCCGCAGCCCAACCATGTCGAAGAACCACCGCAGGCCATACAAACGCTGACGTTCACCAATCAATCGTTCCCATCGCAGCAGCAAGTCAAACCTCAGCAGCAGGCTCCTCCACAGCAGCAGCAGCAGCAGCTCTTCTCCCCGGTTCTGATCCACGAACAACGCCAGCAGCAGGCACAGCAGCAGCCGCAACCCATGTTGATAATGCCGCGCTTGCCAACCCAACAGCCTCAGCAGCCAGCTCCTCAGGGCATTGGAATGCAGGCGGGCGATGTAACCTCAGTTTTTCCGTACGAAGCTGCTGTGGTTACCTATGAGCAGCAGATCCAGCAGCAGCTCAAGCAGCAGCAACAACAACAACAGCAGCAACAACAACAACAACAGCAGCAGCAACAACAACAACATCAGCAGCAGCAGCAGTTGGAAGAACCCTCGCCTGTGAACACCTCTTCCAGTGTTGGAGCTGGTGGCGATGTGGAGAACAATGAATGGCATGCCCGTAACAATGATACGAATGCTGCAGCCACAGCAGCGCTTACGAATGTGCTAAAGGGCGAGGCCACGCCCCCGGCACCGCCTACCAAGTGGAGCTCAGAGATGAATGCCATGAGCAGCGCTGCCTCGAATGGCAGTAGCAACACGAGCCACAAACAGGAGTGGGCAACGCCCAGGGACCACAGCGCCGGCGGCTATGCGGACAACGATGGCAACAACCACTGGAACAACTCTCAAGGGGAGGGACGTCGCAACTCCGGCAACTACCAGCGACGCGGCGGAGATCGGGATAACCGGGATCGTGATCAGGGCGGGCGAGGCGATGAGCGGCGCAATGGCGGCGACAGGGGCAACTACCGGTCGCGCCAGTACGGCAATTCTTCGAACCCGAACGGACGCAATTCGGGCAACAGCGGCGTGTACTTCCGGAACAATGAGTCCGGAAACGGTGGCGGCAACAGCTACTACCAGAATGGCGGAGGCGGCGGTAGCACGTATAACAAGGAGTCGCGCTACGAGAACTCTGGCGGCGGCGGCGGAGGAAGCTATCGGGGCCAGCGCGGTGGTAACCAGCAGAGAAACGTTAATGGTTCGTACGGCGGCGGCAGGCCCATGGGCGATCGTGGGCGTGGCGGAGCGGGCAACCAGGGAGGTGGTGGTGGTGGCTACATAAACCGCCAGAACCAGTCACAGCGCATGCCTCTTGGACTGGAGAATAAAAACTGAGCAAACAATACGTATTAACCGCAAACAAAAAACATACAATTCATGCAAACCATACACACAACAAAACCAACCCATAAAGAAAACAAAAGGAAACCAATCATCCACATGCATGTAATGGCCACGTAGACGTACAATTATCGTTACGTATAAAACTCTCAACCAGAAGAAATGGAGATCTATCAAAGAGAATCCTTTATAACGCAACTAGGGAAACGAAAATGAGCCAACAGCAAAACCGATTCGCGCGCATTTTTGAATACAGTTTATAATTGTTTCCCTTGATTTTGGTTTATTTGATAATGTATTAATAATAAAACAAAATAGTTGTTAGAAACAAAAAGGATTTACAACTATATACAGGAAAGTAAACGCTCTAAGGGTTTCTAAAACTCCCAGGCAGGATAAGAATTCGGCAAAAAGAACACAAACGAAAGATGGGCAAAACGACACAACTAGGATCAGCCAATCCTCGCCCGACTTAACTATATCCCTGTTTGGCTGCGTTAATAAACACAGATGTCGAGAGAAAGAAAATAAAAAGTATTTATACGTCTTAGCAATTAAATAACGATTCTGAAATATACAAATTAATTACTATTACCTATATATATAAACGAAGGATAAATATATTTATAGTTTGTGCTCTTACTGTCATGCTCTATCCCATTTCAACACCTTTTCTTTTGTTTTGCCAAACATTTTACACACAAACGAAGAAAACAAAAATACAAAAAACCACGCAAGAAAATAATAGTTGTAATTAAAATACTGCGTGAATGAAAAGGCGTGCACACTAACAGTGCATTATAAATGAAATGAAAACTATGTATTTGCAAAATAGTACATACATTAAACAAAATTATATAAACCAATTGTTTTCTTTGAATATTTTAAAGGGTAATTGGATCATTTTTTTAATAAAATATAAAGCTTAACAAGTATATATGCCACATTCTATCAATTTAAAATAAAATTTGTTTCAGAATAGAATTCTCTGAGTAAGAGGTATGCAAATAAAACCCAGAGACATGCCTTTATATAAAAATAAATTATAGAAAATCGTAAGTTTTTTTTGTTTTATTAAAAAGGTTTTCTTTCATTATTTGTCCTTTTCTGGTTCCATTTTCTTGGACTCCACTGCTCCTCCATCGCAGAGAAACCAAAGACCAGCCAGAATTAGTGTAATACCAATTCCAGATAGTGCTGTAAGTGGTTCGTGGTATACTAGAGCTCCTAAAATAAACTATATAACACATATTAATCATTGTTTATTACTGATCAACATAACTTACCGATAAGACATAATTAGAGGCGGCAGTTAAAACAACGCAGGTTAAAGTTTGATCAGTCATTTGAAGGGCTTTCAAAAAACATCGCAAGTTACTAACATTGCAGATTATCATAAGAAGTAGTGGTAGGCCATGCACTAATGCAATATCTACAAAAATAAATAATTAAAAACAGTTTTCTTTGTAAAACAAAAAAACTTGCCCAAATAAGACGAGTCGGAAATAGTTCCAGAAGTGTTCAGTAATTTCTGAGCACTGAGGTGACTGGGAAGTTTTCCAAAAAAGCTTCCCCCAGCGGCAAAGGAACCAGCCACCAAGCTATAACGGTATTTTGCAAGAGACTCCATTTATTTTAAGTTAAAAGAGATGTAAACAAATAAAGGAACAACACAAATTTGCCACTGTCAATAAACATTATGTCAACAGATCAGCTGATATGTTACATTGCGAGCGTTGCCAGCTTGTGTGTAGAAAATTGTCGTGTTCAGAAATAATCCACTAGATGGCGTTTACCCTCGGCGCCAACACAAGTAAAACATTTTGTGTAGAATTTTTTCGTATTTCATTTGTTTATTTTACAAAACGTTCAGCTAATGCCTTGACATTTAAATCGAAAAAAGTCTCATTTGCTAATTGCGCGTTGTGTTTTTTTCATTTTATCTCTTAATCTTTTGGAATTGTGTATATATACAAACATAGTTGCTACATAAATAATACAAAGTTTCTTGTATCTCTCAACGAAACAAAACTCACTTAATGCAGAGCAGAATAATTTCATTCAAAAATAGATCCAGATCAAACTGGGCCAAATCGTAATGCTGACTGGCTTAAACATCTTTTCAATTCAAACATTTAGACACTTATATGGGGAATTGCTCAAGTGCTTTGCATTTCGTTTCATTGCTTTGCTTTACTTTGCTGTCACGTTTTAACTACAATTTCGCTATCGTATATTTATTTAAATATTTTATACTTGTTGCATAATACTTTGCCCGTTTTCGGTTTTAAGACTCACACACTGAACCACAAATATTCTCAATGCACTCCAAGCAAATCTATTAAGTTAAGTTCTTAGCGCTGATATATAAATATTTTTTGATGTTTTTGTTTTATGGTTTTTGATTTTTCTTTTACATATAAACTAAGGTAAACTGCTCACATTTACTATAGGTATTTTTTTTATAATATTTAAAATGTATACATATGGTTGTATATTTGTATAAATTTGTATCGTATAATCTGTTTTGTGTGTGTAGTGTAGTGTCTGCTAGGAAAATGCAACGACTTTGAGCCGTTCTGGGAGCTCACAGAATTGAACCCCTATCTTAAACCAACATGCATTTGTGTTTTTAACATTGAAAAATTCACTCACTGAATTCGGTTAATCTAAAAAAAGACACTTTTTTCATTGCCATTCAAACAATGGTCTATCCCTCTGACAAATGTGGTTGCTTTGATACCCTGTTATTCTAGTTGTTAGTACATTAAATTTAGCTTCTACATCAGGACGCAGCATTTGCGACTGGAACTGGTGCTATCGGTGACCACATCCCCGGTGATTCCGCTGAACTTGTTCAGCGAACTGCCCGCCGGCGATGATGCCTCGAAGTCGGATAGTATGCTGCCCGAACCCATGTGACCCATGTGACCCATTGGTTGCGTCGAGATCGGTGCTGATCCATTGTTGTTGTTGTTGCTGGTGATTAGGTTGTTGTTGTTGTTGTTGCTGCCAGTGCTGCTGCCGCCGGCTCCTAAAACAGAACCATTAGTTGTGGTTGCAGTAGTAGCTGCAATTTGATGGGCATTGCTAGTTGTTTGGGATGACAATTCGAAATTATTGAGAACATTGGCGGTGCGTGAAAGCGAGCGTTGCTTCTTCAAATTAGCCAATGTGGCACTATATCCATCTAAACCAACAATCTGCTGCTGCTGCTGCTGCTGAAGCTGTTGCTGCTGTTGATGCTGCTGGTGTTGCTGCAACAGCAATACATGTTGCTGCTGCTGCTGATGTTGCTGCTGCTGCTGCTGCTGCTGTTGATGTTGCTGATGGTGGTGCGTGCTGTTGGTGTCTGGATGTTGGTGTTTTTTGGCAAGGCGGTTGGTGTGTGTGTGTGTGTGTTTTTTTTTGTTTATTTGGGTGGTGCGGTGGTGGTGTAATTGTTGTTTTTATTGTTGATGATGATGCGGGCAGGCAGACGACACAGAACGGGCGAAACGAGGCACAACAACAACAACAAAAAATAGAATGAAACAGAAACAAGCAAATGTTATTTTACTTTTCATCTCTTTTTCCCAGAGAGTTAAGTTTGCGAATACCCCTTGACCAGTCGGGTGTAATGGGATATGTGAAATGGATGTTACATGCAAGTTTATTACGATATATGTCAGCCATGCTTTCTGTCATTTCAACACTCAAATAGACCTTAGTTACCTGACATGGAAAGCTATCTACCAAAACAATACAAATCAATAACTTGTTAGGAGGACAAAAGACATCATGCAAATTATATATTTTCAAAAGTTCTCGTCAGGTTTTATTTGAGAAAGAATTATTCTATAAAACTCTTTAAGCCATTGAGCATATCAGGATTTAAATCCCATAACCCGTTAAAATACTTTTAACTTATATTTCTCCGTCAAAAAATTAAAAACAAATCATTGTCATTATAAAACAAATCATATACAAAATCAAGAGAACATTGAGCCTGTGTACAAATTTACAATGTAATAAAAGAAAATAAATTTTTGACTTGTTTACAAGATATACAGTTATCGGTTTATTTAGCTTAAAATGTTTGCATTTTTGATTCGAATTATTGCAATATTACAAAATATTACAATCCAGAGTAAATTAATGTAATACTAAGGCTCACAACTAATTGTACTTCAAACGAACTATTTTTAAAACCTCTTCCCTAATTGCTTTCTAAAACACAAAACCCAGCCGTGCAGGGCATACCCCATTCGCTATTCTACTCATGCTGTAAGCTGTGTTTGCTTGTTGGAAGTATTTTCATTTCCATTTTAGTAGAGTCGTTAAATAAACATTAAACATTGACATTGACACGGGGACAGAATGGCGCTTAAGCAGGACTCTCCGTGATACGATGACGCTCCTTGGGAGCCACATTGGGTGGTCGGAGGTGGGTTGATGGGACCAATGAGTGAGTGGGTGGCTTGGGTGGCTTTGGTGGCAGGGAGAAAGCGGAAGCAAGCCTGACACGTGGCCAGTGGTTGACTCACCCACGAGGACGGTGACCTGGACATTGATCTTGCCGTTGGCAGCCTCCTTGGACGATTGGATTTGGACGGCCTCGGCACTGGCCGCCGTTCCCTTCTCGGTGAGGATGACGGCCGCCGCCGAGGTGGCCCGCTGCATCTCACCGACGGCGCCGGCGGCTTTCAGGCGGAGCAGCTCGTCGTTTTCGCGGCCATCCGGAGGACGACGCGACTGATAGGAATGTGTGGCGGTGGCCGCCAGTGCGGCGGAGGATGCCGTCATGGCATTGTCCAGCGCATCGGCGGACTTGGAGTGCGGCAGTAGTTGGCCATTCGAACTGCCCGTCGAGGGTCGTTTCTCGCCGTTGTTGTTCCCGTAACCATAGCCATTGGTCAGGGGATCGCCGCCCGAGGAGGGAGCCTCCGAATCCGTCGCCTCTTGGGCCTGCAGACGCAGGCGCGTCTCCTCGACGGCATCCTTTTTGGTTGTCAGCGTTTTGTCCCGCAAACTAGTACGTCGCACTGATTGGGCTCTGTGGGATTTACTGGCTTGTTAGTGTTCCTTTGATGGCCCTTCGAAGACTATATATATGTACCTTGTGTTGTTGCTCTGTGAGCGTCGAACGCGCCGTCGTTGCGCCTCGGCCAGTCGTTTGCTCTCCTGTTCCGTCTTCAGCTGCTCGATGCGCTCCCTGATCTCGGGGTCTTCACAGATATCTACAAATGTATGACAAGGATTATTAAGAAGTTGTAACATATATTTAAATATATTTAATGTTTGTCTTTAAGCCTATTACAAACTGCATTTCTAAGTCCATACCCCAAAAAAATAGTTCATTTTCCAAATAGTTCCTTATAAAATAGACCCAATTAAATGTGATCCATATTGAAAATAAGATTATAGAGTTGTTTATTAAAACTGCGTACAGGTTTTTCTGATTTTCAAATAGAATAGCCAAAGCAAACTACTAGCTTTTTATTATTGGTGCTCATTTAAAAAATGTATACATCATTTTTCTACCAAATGTTTATTTCACTTTAAAGTTTTTTAAAAGAATATCAAAGGTTAGAAAATTTAGTTATTTAATAAACTCACAAAACAAATTGTTGAGCACTCCTAAACCTGCTTATCATGGTAGACGTAGTCTAGTTGCATTCCGGCAATTTAAATATTCAACAATTTATGGCTCAATTTCATATTCATGTGTATTTTTCTGCACAAGGATGTCCGTTGCTTTAGTTGCGCAACCTGTTCGCTATTCTCACCTGAGGGCGTCTCATCGTCCTTGTTGCGAACATTTAAATCAGCACCACATTGGGCCAGCATCTCCAGCACCTCCAGCTGGAAGAAGAGTAATATTGCAAATTATTTTTCCATTGTTCACATATTATTTGACCTCACTTACATGTCCCCAGCAGGCGGCGGCATGAACCGGAGTCCACAGATCCTTGTCCATGGCATCCACGTTGACATGCTGTTCCAGCAAAAACTCAACGACACGGACGTATCCATTGGCAGCCGCTATGTGAAGCTGGACAATTGAAACAAATTAAAAGTTATGCACACGAAAAAGTGGCAAGTGAGTGTCATATATATATATTTGAATAAAAATGATTAATTATTTTACTATTAGTCTTTGATAAAATATTGGAAATTCCATTTGTTAATAAAATAATAGTAGCATTGAAATAGTCGAATTAATACACCAACAAGTAAAAACTTATTAAATTTAACAAATTAACTCAAAACTTGAGAATGTGTTTCTTAATAAGTTGCTTTCCATAACTCAAGTAATATATAAAAAATAAGCCAAGCCAATTTAATTTGCTCTTTTCTAGGGAAAAGTTGACTTCTCACATGAAAAGTTGCAAAAGTTATTACTAACATGATTTTTATATATTTTTTTTTAATTTGACACTTTTTAGATTGAATCACAATTTCTTTGCCATGCAGACTCATAATAAATGAGGTAACTTACGGGTGTGGCGCACTGGTAGTCCGGCTCCTCCAAATCCCCTCCGGTGCGGACCAATTCCATGAGGTCACGTAGCATTATGCGCTCCGTGGAGGAGCGCGTCTCGTCGATCAGCTCCTGGGTAACGCCCCGTTGCGCCATCTCGCCCTCGATGAAGTCCAGCGTGTTCTCATCGTCGCACAGGTCGTAGGGCATATTGCCGTCGGTGTTGACGGCCAGCAG